TGCATGATCCTCCACTGCTGGCGAAGCGCATGCATCGCACGTCCCAAATTGACCCGTCCCTGAAGACAGATGTCTTGCTCACCAGGCTCAGCACGCTGAGGGTGATGCCACTTCCATTGGGCAACTTCTCTCCAGCCCCAATCGGCCAGGCGACTTCTCAACAGCGCGACAGAGCTCGGACCAGGAGCGTTCCACTGCGTCTGAGGGTGCGGACTGCCTCTGAAGAGCATGCCACTGTACCGATCTTTAGCCACCGCAACACGTCGGAGAAGATTCGTAGTAGTGGTAAGCTCAGGACAGTAAACAGCGCCATGAACAGCTTTGCGGAGGGTAGGATTCGCCATCCGCTGCTGGAAGCCAGTGCATCTGCGTAAGGCCAAAAAGACGTCGTCAGAGGTCCTCTTATTGGGGAGTCTGGCAACCCAGCCATATTGACAGACGCTGTTGACCATCGCCCGAAAGGCGCGGCACAAACCTGTCCATCCAATGTGAGTGCACTTTAGCAAGGTGGCCCTGGCCAAGGCTTTGCTAATGCGAGCTCTCTCTTCGTCAGTGTAATTCCGGCGAAAACCACCAACTGCTGTGGAGACTCCCAAAATGAAAGCTTCTCTCTTGATCCAGGAAGGATTGCAGCGCTCTCTGCCTTGGGTGACTAAACGACCCCCTTTGTACACCATCTGGGTTTTGCTGGCGTTTTCTTTCATGCCAACGCGTCTGCTCCAAGAGGCCCAAGCTTGGACGCGCCGGAAAGCTTCACGGAAGTTAGGACACCAAAAACTTCTGTCATCCATGTAAATCCTGGTGATGCTTTCACTCGAGCAGCGCTGTTGCACGTAGTTATGTCCTGCCGCCGTCCACGCCAGTAAGCTGACAGGTGCCAAAGGGCAACCTTGAGGCACAACACTAGCTTCAAGAGGTGTGTGGCCCGTGTGTCCGTCGAAACAGACCCATCGTTGATGCGACCAGGCTTGCCTAAGCAATTGCGTCAGAGGGCCAGGCCATCCGACTTCATGCAAGAAGTCACACGTCGCCGTAGCAGACATGCGATCATAGGCTTGAGCCCAATCTAAGGAGGTGACGACTCCTCCGCGTGAAGCCAAGAAGTCCTGTAAGGAACCAACCACGTCTTCAGGGTTGGGGGCTCCTTTACGGCATCCGACCTCGGAGGGGAGGCAGGCAGAGGCCCAAGCTTGGAGACCTGAGGTTTGCTGCCAGGCACTTGCCCAAGTCCTCCAGAAAACACTCATTACGGAGAGAGGTCTAGTGTTTTTTTTCCAATTCGAGGAGTATCTTCTGGACAAATTCTGGGGACTCACCCCAAAGATAAGTATCATCCATGAATGCCGCACCAGAGTGGGGCGGTGGGGCAAGTGCATGCGGGGGGGCGCCCCCGCCAACTGCGCGCAAGGTAGCGTCTAACACTTCTCCAATTTGGGCAGCAAAAAGCACGGGACTGTCGGGACTGCCCTGCCGTACACCATTGGACTGGTCCACGGCCACACAATGCTTTTGCACCCAGAAGCTGAGTTCCCGGGCCTCCAAAAGAGAAAACCATAAGCGTGCTTCCCAGGGTTTGCCCCCGTTGACGGCTACTTTACGCATAACCAGATCGGCAAGTTTTTCTTGAGCTACACTGTCGAAAGCCTTGGCAATGTCAATTTTGACTATATAGAAAGGTGTGTTCCACTCATGTGCAACTCGCGCCAGCTTGCGGAGAGAGAGTATCAACTCCACTCCCTGTTTCCCTTTGCTCGCCCACTGGTGAAGGCAACATTCCTGCAACAGGGGGCTTCCCCTAAGGAGAAGGAGTTGCGAGATCCACTTCAAAATGGCACTTGATAGCGTGATTGGTCTGGTTTCAGACCAGCCCGAAGGCACAGCTGTTTTGGGAAGTAGCACCGAGGCTCCCGTCATGACCCAGGGGGGAAGCTCCCCTTTGTACAGGCCATCATTGATGAGCTCCATGAGTCAGGGTCTCCAGGAGTCATGTTCGAAAAGGAGCTTGAGAGCTTCGAGGGCGATGCCATCAGAGAAGGGGATCCAAGGCGTGATTTTGCACAGGCGGGCAGCGTCTTCCCGCAGGGCCTGCATCGCGGTTCTCGTCTGCTGGGGAGGCTGTTTGCGGAAGATAGATTGCATGTGCCGGCGCAATTTATCCTCCCAATCAGGGTCATCCAGGAGGGAGGCCGCCCAGTTGGTTTTGGAGCTCTTGTGTCTGAGAGATCGCAGGGCATTCCAGTCATGGGATCCGGCTCGGTCTGCTAGACTGGATTTCCAAAGCTTGCGCTCAAGCTGGAGCTGACGTGAAATGGCCTTCCACGCGGAACGCGCTTCCGGGCCTGGGGGAATCACCTTAGCCTCGCGGCGTTGGAGCTTGAGGGCTGAACTTTCCCTGAACTTAAGAGATCTCTGCGCAGGTTCGGTGATAGCTGCTGCGATGTCGACTATCGCGTGGTGAGGGTCTCCCCTTGTGGGTTGGTGGGAGTCAAGCACTTGGTGGCAGTCGGCTTTGAGTTGGCGAGCACACCAAATAACTCCAGTCTTGGGCCCGGGCGGTGCAGGAGTCATTGCACATGCAAGGATTGGCTCGTGGTCGGATGCTGCACGGTCTCTGGCTTGGCCCACGTGGGCATGCAGAACCCTAATACCCCTAGCGGCCACATAGTCTAGTCGCCTGGCTGAGAGTTCAGGATTGTAGGGGAAATGCGAAGGAACGTGCATCTGCTGCAGGGGGACACAAATGTCACATTCGGCAAATGCTTGGAGGATTTGCTCCCCCCTACCTGTGCATGAAAGCGTGGCACTGCCTAAAGAACCTTCTGGCTGCAGGAAGGTTTCGTTAGCGTCAATTCCCATGAGGAGCCGAGGGCAGGCATGTCCTTCCAACCGTGCAGTGCAGCTGCGGTTTGCTCAATGGTGAACCTATGAGAAACATGACCTGAAACGAGGCCTAGGGTACGCCTGTCGTGCTGGCGAAGGGTGGTGCAAATGCATGCAAAGCAAACACGCGAGGATTCATGGGCGCCCATTGTGCTGCGATAAGCAATCCCACATCCTCTCCATTCGGAGGCAAGTTTGCCATGCACGAGGGTCCAAGTATCATTAGCATCAAAATGGGGTCCTCCCCCAGTAGTGGTAATCTCTTGGAGAAAAACGACTTGCAGGAGGGACAAAGCAGGGGTCCCTTGAAGGCCGAGCAGCAGGTCCAGGACTTTATCCGGGCTCATACCACCCAGGTTCCAAGAGGCAAAGTGCAAGTGAGCCTTCACCTGTTCGTTTGGCTCGTGGCTCGACGTGGCTGCTCCATCTTGGGGCAGCTTGCGAGGGTCAGCTTCGGCTTGGTGAGACAAAGCGGGGTCCTCCCCGTCTTCCGCAAAGCTTGTGTCCAATCAGCGGAGGGCCGCAGACAGCGGCTCCCAGGCCTTCTCTAGTGTGGGCAGGTCGGTGTTGAGAAGGTTGGCGAGTGTATGCAAGTCAATCCAACCGCAGCCCGCATTGACGGATGTCGCGGGACCTATGGTTGCACCTGAGGAGACCTTGACGTTCTTGAACCATACTGTGCCTGTGGCCCATTCGGGCTCAATGCGGTTAAGGAGGGGCAGTCCTCCTGCTTCAATGATGAGGCGCTTCACCTTCCCTGCAAGTGCTGCGCAGCGCCTGCGTTCCGGTGGTTGGCTTATCGAGAGCCAAAGCTTGGCTGGATTGCCGTCAGGCTTTACGCCTAAGGTCACGTTGGCAGCATTCACTCTGCGCATGCAAGCCTGGATGCGCTGCCTCAAATTATCCTCAGTTTCTCCATCATTGGTATGGATCGGAATGAGTACCCTGCCTCTTCGAACGCCTGGGACAAATGCATCAGACAAGTTGAGCTGTAACTGTAGGTCACGGGCCATTTCGTTGGCCTTCTGGAGTACTTCACTGGCCAGGGAGTCAGGTGGCCATCCTCCCATCACCAGAGCAGGGACCCTGCCTGAGTCAGTCGTCGAGGGAGTGCTCCCCGAGTTTTGAATGCCCTTCACTGTGCCTTCCAGCACTGACAGTCTACTGGCAATGGCTTTGGTGTCGGTGGAGAGCTCCTCGATGCGCAGTCCCTGTTGGGCTTGGCCGGTGGAAAGTGTTTCCACCACTTGTAAAGTTCGTTCGCAATGTTGATGGAGGCCCTTCTCTAAGGCCACAACTCGTTCTGAAACACCGCCAACTGCTCCTTGGATCTCGCCTCGGACAACCTCTCTGATCGCCTCCAGGCTGAGGGTTTCGCTCTCGGGCACTCCCCGCTTGCGCTGGGGTGAGTCCTGTTCCATCATGGAAGCGCCATTGCCTTTACCCGCCATGGTGCAGGCAGCGGACAGGGCAGCCGCCGATCACGTTCCGGTAGCTGGTCACAAAGTTCTCAAGGATCTGCTCAGCTGCGGTTCACCCGGTGGACCGTTGCACAACCAGCTCCCGTTCAAAAGCGATGATCACGGACAGAGCAAAGAATTTGTTCTCGCCGTTCTGCAATCGCGACAGAAGAGCGGGAGAAAGAGAGAAAGAAGAGGGCAAACCCCCGGTTTCGGATCAGGCAGGCACTGGGTCAGCAAGGAAAGAGGAGAATCACGGGGCGGAAGGGCCCACCTGTCCTCGAACCACTCGCGGCTTGAGCCAAAATGGCTACCTCTCTCTCTCTCTCTCTCTCTCTTGCTTGCAATCGGTCAAAGGCAGCACAACGCACTGCCCCGCGCGCGAACGCGCCCCGAAGTCCTGTAGTCTGTTCTCGGCCCCCTCCTCTCTCTCTCTCACTCTCTCTCTCTCTCTCTCTCTCTCTCTCTCTCTCTCTCTCTCTCTCTCTCTCTCTCTCTCTCTCTCTCTCTCTCTCTCTCTCTCTCGCTCGCTCTCCCAGTATGTCTGTCGTCAGCCTGTACGGGAGCAGGCTCCTGCTTCCATGCTCTTTCTTACTGGATCTTGTACTACTTGAAGAAGTAGCACCCTCAGCCCAACAAGTACACCTTACTACGCTGCTCCTGGTCTTTGCTGCCCAACGTCGTAAGAGGAGCAGCCGGCTTCGTTCCAGGCGGTGCTGTCAAGGACAGCTGCCCCACATCTAGTGCCTGCGCTGAAACGGGAAGGGAGGCGACGGCTCTGTCAGCTGTGAGCTGCAGGCCTGCACAGAATACCGGCAGCTGAGCTCCACAGCCAACAGAGCTCCAAAGCCAGCGGGCAGGCCAAGAAGCAGTAAGAGGTCGATACCAACCAACCTTGGCTGAGCCGTACATGGCCTCATGGTCTTTGGCTGGACACATGACTCAAGCCTACGACAGGCGACAGATCAGCCATGTCCGCAATCATCTCATCGAGAGCTCCGAGAAGCATCGAAGTACTGACCTGGGACATTTGACACAGCGAGCCGCGCCAGAGTGTGCGACATCTGTTGGCACTGATGAACTTAAAGACTCATCTTGGGAAACTCAAGTCTACCTCCCCCGCTCACCAATACCGATCAAAAGCAAGGACCGCATACCTGCAAAACATGCTGCTGTAGAGTCCGACGCTGTGCTGCTGCTTTCTCAAAGCTGAAATTCGAGCTTTGCGGCAGTCACTGCTCGCACAGATGCTGCAAAGCGGAGCGCTGCTCGCATCTCGTTGTCTTCAGGCGCAGAAGGGCCACGCAACAGCAGCACCTGTGACCATGACCCTTGGCAAGCTGTCGCAGTTTCTACAACTTTAATTTTCAACCGCTTGAGGCATGTTACTTGTCGGCCATGGACGACATCCCTGGCGAACATCTCCTGGATTTCCAGTGGGGATACGTGCAGGTCGTCCCAATGGCGCCTGTCCAATGCCAGTGCCTCGGCTTTGCACTGCTCATCATTGTGCCTCACGACCAGACCCGACTCAACACGACCAACCCATAAACACAACATGCCGGCATACTTGCATAATCGTGGATGTGATCTCCACTTTCACTTGCACTACACATGCAAAGCTGCGTGGCAATATTTGCCAGCAGGAAGTCTTTGCTTCACGTGTTGGGCCACCGCAGGGTCCAACGAGGATGCTCGAGCACCGGTACCTGGCACCGGCTGTCAGAATCGGCACGCCTCATCAGTCAGTGACCCGCATTGATTGACGGGGTCGTCAAGGCCCTAACCGATCCGAAAGCGACCGTCGATGCCCTCGGACACCGTGTCCTCTGCTGCTATGCAAATGCCACAGCGCTCAGGGTAGCCACCTGCAGCAACAACTTCTGCGTCGCCCATTGCAGACAAGCCATGGCTACATTTCTTGCGTCTCGTGCCTAAGCGGGCCAGGGAATCCAGAAGACGCGCTCGTAGGACCTGGTCCATCCCAACCTGAATCCCAGGAACCGGTGCTTCAGCAAAGCCAGTGCTGGCCAGTACGACGCACGATCAGAACAATCTGTTTATGTAAGTCGTACCAGAGACCAGGCAGCACGTGGTTGTTCAAGCACGTATCCCACACTTGCTACAGGCACCAGCAACCACCTACTAGTACTGCGTAGAATGTACAATTTGCCAGAGGCCATTTCCCAGCACTTATTCCAGATGGCTCCCTCTTGTCGGCCCGCCTCCTCTTCTGAAGAAGGCAGGCGTGCGAACGAGGCTCCTCGTGACAGAAGGATGAAAGTAGAGAACCTTAGCCGGCACTCGCGCCACAGATACACGTGCCTGACAACACAAGTGATGCAGTTCAGCGGCACATCGTAGAAGTTGTGAGTTTCTTTCACTCCTGTGACGGCTGCCGCTGCCCAAATTTCCAGACGTCGGCAAGCCCTGTCCTTCGCGGTCCCACTGCGAGAGGCGCAGGTAGAGTCCTGTCAAGTCCTCGCATGACATCCAGGCCCCTTGAGGATCCCTAACTAGGAAGAGTGTCCTCCTGATGCCAGCGTTGATTACAATCAATGGAACTTGCTGCAACCTAGCGTTCGTAGACTCGGAGCTTATCTGAGCTTTCTTGACATGTCAAGGCGTGAGACCCAATCCCCGTAAGCTAGCCACAACCAAAGCAAAGGAGGTCAGCATCCGGCTTGCAAAGGCATGCTGCATCCAGTGTCTCCGATGTTTGGCAAACTGCAGAACGAGATTCCATGGCTTTCTTGGCTCTCCCTCAGAAGCTGTCCCAACGCTCGTCCACTTGGGTATGGCTCGTGGCAGATTTGGAGGTGTTGTCGATTTCAACGATCTCAACTATGAATGCGATCCCGGTCGCAAACCCCTGAAGAGCCACATGCCCGGATGCCAGATGGCGGCGTGTACAATTTCGAATTCTGCGGCAATGGGTAGTTCTTTGGCACCTCGTCCCCAGAAGAGCGAAGAGATCCCAAGGCCTCGGGGCCGTGACTCCGGAACAACGGCAGTGCCTCACGACATCGCTGGGCAGGCTGGCCTGCCCACGAGGCCCAGTTTCCTGGAGATAAGTACCTGGATCGCAGTTTGGATTCGCGACTCGGCATCCTTCGTCTTCCCAGAACGAAACGCTGTCCGCACTCAGACAGCATCGAGGAGACGCCCCATTGACTTCCGGCGCTTTCCGGATGCAGGCGGTAGTGCCTTGGCATGCAACACTCAGCAGCACTCATCACGCTACGAAGTTAGCCAATCAAGTTACATTCCACAGACGATGCTTTCCAGAATTTCGTGCTCGTTTGGTTTACAGCCGGCAGGCAAGCAGCAGAATCTGCAAGACAAACAGCAGCGGTCAGATCTGCGCGTGATGGCATCATTTTTGTAATGTCATGGCTTTGCTAGGCCCCGGCTTGGCAGGAGCTCCGGTGAGTGCGGCCAGTGCCTGCCGGTCACTGCTGCTACGCCCGACTTTGTGATTGCTTGTTCACAGCCTCGGCTGAATCACCGCGCTCTGCTGCCTCAAAGGCGTTTAGCTTTGAGCACATCGTCCCTGTGTTGACAATCCTGCGGCACAGCAATGTGAGCCTGGAACGAACCGTTGATCCGCGCCCATGCCTGTCAGCTTGAGGCAACAAACATGCTAACATGCGGGCTTGATGCACTCGCATGTCGCACCCGGCCTTCTCTAGCAAAGGCACCCAAAGAGCACCCGAGCAGCTCGAGGAGAAAGCAAGTCGAGTGTCCACCACCTGATGTTTCAGCCCTACTCAAACACTTCGACACCTTATTTGAAAAGTTCCTATTATGCTTAACTCTAGCCCCCTTTCCGGTGCACGCCTGATGGCTGGGAGCTGGTGTGGGAATCAAGCAAACATGTTCGGGGGGCCTCGTTATGCTTAACACTGTCCCCCTCCTAGCGCGGAAGTCCTGAACCATGGGTCCACCTGAATTTCCACCTGGGCCACCATAGCAACCACCCCCAATATTTCAGTAGCACACAAGACCTGACCCTACTGGATTCTTGCCTGGACAGGGTTCTCCACCCCTGTTTGGGTGCTGCCCACCACCCCCGCCCATGTGCCTTGGTAAAGCCCTCTCAGACTTGTGCTAGGGCCTAGGATTTAACGTTTTGGGGGTGGGGGGCTGGGGGGCACCAGAGTTTGGGCACCAGACCTTGGGCACCCGATTTTGGGGGGCCCCAGCTTGTTCAGCAGCAATTTGGGGGTGGGGGGGTGGGGCTGGAAAAAGCGCAACAAAGTGTGAAGGGGGGAGGGTTGGGGGCTGGCACTGGGCTGGGGAGGTGGGTTAGCCGTCGGGAGCCGTCGGGCCCGGGGCGAGATGGGGGGCGGGGGGTGGATTTGCGAGTTTGGGACCCGGCACCCCAGTTTGGGCACCAGAGTTTTTTGCCGGAGTTTAGGGATTTTGGGCAAATCTGACCCCGGATTCCTGAAACCAAATCGTTGACAGCGAGTTCGCCCAATAAAAACCTAATTTTCACACCGGGGGCTGCCCCAGATTTGGACAAAGATCCCAAAAACGCATAAAAGGCGCTTTTCAACACCTAATTGCCAAGTCGACCATGCAAGCATTGAGCTTGGCTTTTGCCCAACGACGAGACAAGGAAGCACATGCTCCAAACCGAGAGCCTGCATCTCAGCAGACAGCTTGGGGGGAAAGCCACGGCATGGCAAGCCTTCACAAACTTCGCGCATATCTGCATGTACGAATCCACTTGAGCAGCACAATGCCAGCACGACAGGCATGTCAGGTCCCGGCTGTGCGATACAGGCACCTGGGAGTGGAGGATCGGACATTGCACTGGTACTTCTATTGCAGGGTATCACGAGTACAAGTTGACTGCGAACTACCGCGATCCCCGGCCTGCTGCCATCGTCCCGCACGAGACAATCGGCCTCAGACGTCCATGACAGTCTATGGACACCTGCATGTGCTGCCTGAGGCCCAGCAGATAGAGACACCGGCAGCTTGCCCTTCTGCAGTAGTAAACACAGCCTGCGTTTGCATGCTGGCGCAGTGGGCACACATCGCAGCACTGCAGGCAGCTGAGCCTGCTTGAGCAGGGCCGGCTGGACCTGCTGAACGATGCAGTTTCTCACTCATATCATACTGTTCAAGAGTGCCTTGTCCAAGGCGCTACTCGAGAAAAGAAATGCTTCCTAGCTTCTTGACAAGTTTCGGCGGGACTGCCTTTCAACGCAAGTAGCTTCGCATTATCAAGGGTCAAGACCTTGATCCGCCTTCTGCGCTGATGCTTCCGTCTGCAAGTCGTCCAAATTCAGACGAGATTGCTCCCCTGCCCCCCCTTGGGTGAGACGCGCACTAGGGAATGGCAGACCTGCAGCACAGTCTGTGTGATGATAACACTCCACTTCAGATTCAGATCTGCTAGTTCGTGTTATGTGTGGCGTCGCATTTGCAGCAACCACCTGCTCTTGCAAAACTTCGCTGCCGGAGAACTGCCGGAGCCAGTGCTGGTGCATGCCGAGCATGTGCCAAAGAAGCAATGTAGGCTCCCATCTGGATGCCTTTAGCCAGGACATTCGAGTCATTCCGATCTAGCACGTTTGGTCGGTCGCTCTGCAGCAGATGACCTGAAGGCGTTGAGCAAGCCGCTCGCCCTTCAACTAGAACACGAATCACTGACCAGCTGAGGGCAGAGCGCCGTTTTTCGCTTTGACGGCTGCCTCTCTCGAGCGAGGTGAGCTAGTTGGTGAATCCGCGCTGTCCGATGCCAGGCCTTGCTCCCTTCACAACTGCTTGGTGCAGCATCTCCCAAAGATCTGCTTTCTTGTTGTGGATCCCCTTCCTCGCTTGCCGTTACATCAAGCACGTAAAATGCTGCTCCGAGCTCGGGGCATGTCCGCAACTTCCGGCCTGCACAGGCGGGAACACAAGCGCTTCCAGAAGGGAACAAATAACGGACCAATGGCAGTTCCATGTTGGGAGGTCGCTCCGGTCCTTCTCTCTTCTCCGAATCTGAAGCCTCAAGGCTAAGGCCTTTGTGGGGAGGTGAAAAAGTTGGGCATCAAACGGACGGGGGAGAACATCCCCTCCATGTCTCTGTTTTTCTTCTCGGGCCATGTAGTAAAGAAAGTGCAGGCGAGCAGCATGTCTACGTGCTGAGTAAACCACAGCGTTGCAGTGTCGTCCGCCCTATCGATGGACCAGTATGTACCTTGTGCGGCAGCCAGATGGCAAGAGAGTGCTTGGCGGCCGAAACTGACAAACCCGGTCACTGCGACTATGTTGCATGCAGCACCACCCATTCCATACTCTGTGCCGTTCTTGCGGTAGGTTCCGATGTTGCCAAGGTAGTTGACCTCGGTGAATCCAAATGAACTTCTTCAAGCACAGAGGATGGGCTTGATGCATCTGGGCGACTGGGTCTACCCCTTCTTTCATGCGATTCTTCTCCATCGCGGTCACAGATGAGGAGCTCAAAAACCTTTGTCCATCATCCAACTTCCCTTTCCGCATCAGCATGCGGACCTCAGTCAGCTAGCTCTGTTACTGTCACAAGTTTTCTGCTCCTGTCGGCTTTTCTGTCTTCATGCTTAGATCGGCACAAAGCGTGCCGTGTCAGCAACTGTGCTGACCTGGACACCAGGAGGCTTCGTGCTTGTGGGCATTGCGAAGAATATCGGAAGCATGGCGCAGCATGGTTTGCGGACAGACAATTATTGATGCCACATGTCAGTGTGTTACACCAAGCTTACGGCTAGGCCGCCGTACAGGTAGCCCATGAAGCCGCCACCAGAATGAACTCCTGCTGAATTGGCCCAAAGGCTACTCGCAACCCTGACGTCTCACACGAGGTTGCGGATGGCGCGCAGCAGAGAAACGAAATGAAAGGCTTCCATGCCAACGGCTGCAAGCGACTCTTGGAAGTATATCCGAAAAGTATGGAGCTGAGGCACGGCATTCTTGTCCCTGAAGCCAATGGCTCTGACGCCTCGGCTGGGTTCTGTTCCTTCAAGCCCTTCAAGTCCCAAGGTGCTCCCAATTGCCGCATTGCAAGCGAGGCACGCCTTGTTGCCATCAATGCGGACAAGGCTTGGGCGAAGAGCGCTTGGCATGCGGCCCTTGGTCTGACCGTACAGCCTGAAGCCACGCGACGGTGTTTCCAGATGCTGGAGTCGTTGCTTCCGTCTGGACGGAACTCGCATAAATCTTCGTAGTGCATTCAAGCATGGAGTGGAGGCACAGTAAATTGAGTTGGGGGAGCTACATTCTCGGGTTCTTGAGTGGGTGAAAATCTCTGGAACGTGCACCGCTTCGGCAGCTGCGACTTGAAAGAAGCTTCTACAGTCGTGGACCGTTTCCAACTGTGAGGCCGCATTTCGACAGGAGGGCAAGCGCATTCACGAGGCTTTCTGACCGAGGCTCTTCTTCCAGGTTGGCTTATGAGCGTAGCCTCGGCAGCACACAAGATCGGGCTGTGGGCTGGCATCCGTGAAGCCTCCAGCCGAAGAGCCGGACATTGCCTGTAACCGCAACCAGGTGGCAAGCAGAAAGCTTTTGCAGCTCGTCTCTTCGAACAGCCCACTTGGTATGCTTCATACCGAGAGGTTCAAAGACTGTCTCGGCCAGAACCTTTCAGAATCCATGGCCATGCCCGGATGCGCATCAAAGCTCTTTCGAGATCAAGCCTTGTCCAATCTCTTTCTCCCGACGACCTCCAACACTCTTCCCAGCACGTCAAAGGAAAATCCATACCAGTAGGAGTTCCTGGCAGGCAAGAATCAACGGCTGAGCCCTCGTCTAGCGCGAGGCCGCGAGGCTGTGCGCTGCCGAGATCTGGTCCGAGGCTCCCGGGATGATCTGAGAGTGGAACTCTGGCAATGCCTCGCGCGAAATCGGCGAGTGAAGTGATCCTCTTTTGTTGCCTCAGAACCAGAGAAACTCGACCAAGTTTTTTATCGCCGGCAACCATCCCAAGCTTTACTTGTACGGCGTCAAGACTCACATCTTGCTGTAGCTGGAGATAGGCCCGCGAACTCTCATCCTCAATAGTCTCGTCCACATCCGGGGCATAAGCAATTCCTGAGTATTTAGCATATGTGCCGCAAGTGTGCAGCAGGAGCAGCTCAATAGTTCTTCTCACTGGTGCCTGAGCAGTGGCAAAGGAGATGCTTCAACAGGATCGGGCGCTTTGCCGCGATAGGCGCGTCTGCACCTTCCTCAGATTTGCTTGACAACACAGAGGTCGCCAATGGAACTCTTGCAGCACGGCCGTGCACTTCCTGCCCGATGCGGTGAATCCGATGCTGTTTCCCGACAGGACCAGCTGCCGGTTGAACGAGGACCTTTCCAAACTCGGGGATGTACTTGTCCAAGCCTTCAGTTGCGCATCAAAGCTCGCCGCTGCTGACTGCAGGCATCAGGCTGGGCCCGGACGGTCGTTCAGGTCCAACTTGCCAGCTTCTGCTAGCCTCAGCTTCGCGTTCGTCAGTGGATGCTAGTGTGTGCAAACCAGATTGCCAGCCAGCCACCGAAACACAGCAATAGCAATGAATGGCTTGGTTGCCTGTCGACAATCGGAAAGTGCCGTGACATCAAGAAGAAAGACACTCAAACGATGCACAATGCAAACATTAATATGTATGACATGCTTCCTTTATGCTGCCAAGGGTCGCAGTACATGCGACAGTATGTGTCGAATGAAAACGGGATGCCTCGCTCCACATCTGCCAAGCCTACAGCATCCGCCAGAACGACCTGCAGGTTCGTGCAAGTTTTTTTTGCATCCGAGATGTTGGCTCCAAGCAAAGCTTTGCACTCCAGTTCTTTCCATCCCGCACGAGAGCAAACATCGTGTGGCTCATAGAAATGATGTCTCTCTGAGCCTCCTACAGGAAATCGTATGTCTTTGGACAGGAGCTTGGCCAGCAGTGTCGATCTAAGTTTGCTGTACAGTTGGCATCCGCACCCTGCGGATGGTCAGGTGGGGCCTGCTGTGCTCTGCTGTGCATCGCTGACGTAATACGCCCACAAGCTACCCACAAAAGACTGCCACCATGCAGGGACCCTGCACAAGCATGCTGCAGGAAAGGCAAATCCAAAGGTGCCAGGAGATGTCAGGAGTGGCACATGCTCTTGTTCCCCAGAATGCCATGCGTCCTATATTGGTTTGCAGCTGCGCAACCGGGCCCCTTGGATTGCTGCATCTCCCGTCGCATCATCACAGTCACAGAAGCAAGTAGATAACAAGCCCGGGCAAACGGGCAGGCTGGCCAAATGCCGCCTCACGAAGCCAAATGCTCCAAAAGGCTCCATGCCACACGCGGATGCCCAGAAATCTTGCCTAACAGCTGCCTAAAGCTAATTCATTGGTTGTTTGAAACAGTTGGAGTCTCACTGGAAAATAGTGTTCATGTCGATCGCTCTGCGGCCAAATGGTTCAAATGCTATCTGAGCGCAGCAGGCATTGCCAGAACGCCTTCTGCAACTCAGCCGCCCGACGATGAACTGTGAAGGCTCTGAAGATCGAGCGACTAGGTGTCGCGCGGTAGTCCGTGACAAGCAGTCAATCCATATTGTCAGATCTAGACTCGTAACTCTGAAGCTCGGCACCCAAATTGCCAAGGCTTGAAGCGAAAAGGCCATAGGACTTGATTGCTATGGCAAAAAAAGAGAACGAGAACCTGGGCACGACATCAAGCTCGAAGCATCTCAACGCCACCGCGGCAATGTCACATCAGCCACTTCCTAGCAGACACCGTGGTCTGACTCGTTGACTCTTAAGACACACTCTCGGGTCTGGCATCTGGTGTCCTCCACCTTCTTGTATGCAACCATGGCAGTGCCATTGGCCAACTTAGCACTCTCTCTAACAATACCCAGGAGGTGACATTCTTGAATCCAACAGTACTGCGTCAACTCGGCTTCCCGACTGTGCTCCGTAGGAGACCGGGGGCTAAGCCCCGAAAAAGGAGGCCGGTCCGAGCAGCCTCCGTCAGCAGCGTCCAGCAACTCCTGGAGTCCGTGCTTCAGCTAGGCTAGGCGCCGCTAGGCACCTCTTCTCATGCGAGCTTCTCTCTCTTTTTCAACCCGAGGTCTTGGAATCAAAGTTGCCGCTCTGCCTTTGGCTTTTGATGACGTCCTCACTTGGCATCCCGGAAGCTAGGATAAAGACTCTGCATGGAAAACCACGGGCAGAAGAAAGGACCGAACAAACCGAGCAACAAGTGGCCAGATTGTAAGCCATGCCAGGTTTGAGCAGATCGCGCCCATCCAGAATGGTGGGATGCCGGCAGGGTTGAGGGAGGACAGTATGTCACGGTAGATAGAGAAGCTGCTGAAGAGCCCCATGTTGCGCACGATGGTGACGGAAGAGCCATGCAGCAGGGTCCTCGCATTGACAAACACCAAGCCATATCTTCAACGTCTTCAATATTCCGGAGAGTGGGTGTAGCTTGAACGCACTTGCCTATGTGGCAGGTGTTGGACGAGGCGGCGGAGCGGTGAACAAACACAAAACACCTGTTAAAAACTTCCAACATCACCGGGTAAGTAAGGTAGACAGCTCCTGCTAACTTGAGGCCCAGCGTCCGGAAGCTCCACGCATGTTCGACCTGCCTGCAGACTTTCACCAAGTCAAAAGGAGCCTTGCCGGGAAACAAACTGAAGTGAATGACATGCAAAGCACATCTGCCATGGCCACGGATTGCGCAGCATACGAAAAAGATCTGGGCAGTTGTCAGTTCCGCCTCGATGACACCACGGGCGAAGCCCCCAACGGCACCAGCCAGAGCTATTTGCCTCGGTGGCTTTCACATGACACATCTTCCCGCGCGATCCAGCGATTGTGCACTCTTGCTGGCATGCCACCAGTCAAGAAAGCCAATCTTGCGTGGGGGCGTCGCGCTTCTGAGATGCCTTCAGCAACGCCATCTAAAGCTCATGAAGCGTTTTCCTCTTACCAGCAGCTGAAAATTGTGCTATTCATCGATCTATCTGTACGGTACTGTAGGTATGTGTTTATGTATATATGCATATACAATCTGCATGTGCAGATGTAGATTTTTGGCACTCGCACTCGAAAGACTCAGGCGAGGATTCGGGCGACACTACAACGCAAGAAGATGCAGATATAGACACACACTCAAATACATATATTGACAGGTTTATGCACCTACAATCACCCCGCACGCGCATGCACACACACACACACACACCACACACACACACACACACACACACACACACACACACACACACACACACACACACACACACACACACACACACACACACAACAACAACAACAACAACAACAACAACAACACACACACACACAAAAACACACACACACAACAACACACACACACACACACACACAAAAACACACACACAACAACACACACACACACACACACACACACACACACACACACACACACACACACACACACACACACACACACACACACACACACACACACACACACACACACACACACACACACACACACACACACACACACACACACACACACACACACACACACACACACACACACACACACACACACACACACACACACACGCACACACACCGCACACA